ACAAGAGAGATGAGCTGCAAAACAAGCTCAAATCATCACCCCTTCACCACGTGTTGACAGCTGGTGTGAGGTGTTTGTGCTGGTATTCTTTGCAACTTTGTTAACAAATTTGCAGCCATGCCGTCATGCTCTTTTTAGAGAGGAGAGACTGTCTCCTTGCAACCCTTCCAAACAAGCCGCACTTATTCAACTCTTTTCTAATTGTACTGTCATGGACTTTAACATTTAACATGCTAACTGAGGCCTGTAGAGTCGGAGATGTAGCTCCTGGATTTTTGAGCTTTTTCTGAGCACTGCACAGTTTGACCCTGGGGTGAATTTGCTGGGAAGATTATGACATTGTGATTATGACACATAGCTGAATACTCCAGACCAGCAAACTGCCAAAATGTATGATTTCATAGAGGTGCGCTCACTTGCTGGTAAAACAATTTGTGAATTGCAGTGAAGTTGGTTAGAAGTAATAAAGGGGGAACATATTACCCTCGAGAGTCTACAGACAAGCTGGAGCATCCAAATCACATGATCAAGTTAAGATTACTTCGAACATTCACTGAGTCTTGTTTCAATTTGGGTAAGAAGTGCAGACTTCAAACTACATGAAAGTGTTTAAATTGTGCTGATGGATCAAGTAAAACCAGAGTTGTGAAAGATAATGTAGCCCATGCATTTTCCCAAATACTGTCATCAGCTTGAGTGCAGGAAGAAATAATAAAAACTGTTTTATCTAAGGATAGAAAAAACCCCAAAAAACTTTGAAATAAAACATGACTCTTCCTATTGGGAAAAATGCAGCATGTCAGGCATTCACAAAATTATATGCCAGAGTGTGGCATTTGGTTGCTGAGGAAAGGGGAAGTTATTGGAGTGGAGGCAAATATATGCTGCGGCTGTGCTAAAAAAAAAAAAAAGACACCAAACAAGGCAAGATAAGCAGTTTGTAAAAGTGAAATATATAAATAAACTCTAAAGTAATCAAAAACTGCCATTTATAACCTTGACTTCGGAGTTTTAAATTACACAAAGATTGCATTATAACATATGTAGTTAGTGTGATAACATCTAGAGTTATTGCATTCATAGAAGTTTCTTCTGCTCTCAGAACAGATTCAGTTGTTCACAGTTTCGGGTCACGGTGCATTACCAGGTTGCAAACACTCACAAGGTGTTGAGTTGTGGTCATGAAAAGAACAAAGTGGTTAGCAAAAATTCTGTGATGCATTGTCATCTGACGGTTGACAAACCCTCAGTCTAACCACAGTGTGACAGCACGGCTTCACGGAAAGTCACATTTTGAATATTTTCTCATGCAGTTTTTTCTTCTCTAAATTTCATGTTCATTTACTTGACCAAACCTCTGATGTGTAAATCAGATCCAACTGAATGTCATCAGAACATATTATATGTCAATAGAAAATTGTCAGTATAATCTTTTAATAATATAAGTTTGCAAATGGTAGTGATAGGATGTGCGATCCTTAATAGTCTGCAAAGGCTTTGTGTGCATTCCAGAGTGCTCTGGCGTTCACACCCACATCCTGGGAGCATGGGAAAGGTTGTACCTTCTTTTATTGTTTTACGGTAGGATAAACGTAGCTATGTCAGTTTGAGTCTAAGCGCCTTTTTTACTTATAGATGAACTGTTGGATTTTCCAGACCAGCAGGTTAAGGGAAGTCGTTTATGGGGTCACACTCTGACACACACACACACACACACGCACACACACACACACACACACACACACACATATACACCTCCACACGCACGCACGCACGCACGCACACGCACACACACACACACACAACACACACACTATACACCTCCACATTCCAATGTAAGGAACAAACACCCACTGATGTATAAATAAAGACCAGGGCAGTCTCAGAGTTGCGAGTCCCTGAACCTTCACTCTCGTGCGAGAGCTCAGAGCTGCCCTTGCTAAGCAACAAGTAAAACTGTGTGTTTCTCCTCTCTGATTCTCAGCTGAAGAAGTGTCTTAGAATGCATCTCTTGACATTATATAATGAAATTTGTTTTCTTTTACTAATAAGTTGAGGATTTGGCGTAACATTGAATATAGAAGTTTTCTATCTCTGAAGGTCAGTTGCAATTATGGGTTGTAAACTCACTTTAGTAGTCCTCCTCCTTCATTATTCCATCCATTTTGTGATCAGTGCCACTGGTAGCAAAACAGCCCCGGAGCATGATCCTTCCACCACCAGGCTTAACATCTGGCACCGTGTTCTCAGATTTCAAAGGATCACCTTTGATACATCAAACATATTGTTGTCATTGTGGCCATATAGCTCAGTCATAGTCTAGTCTGCCCATAAAGCTTTCTTTCCAGAAGCAAATGGCTATTTGTGGTTGGGATCCTCTCAGTTCACAGTAATGACAAATTCCCTCTGATCTAAAGCTGGTCAAAGTGGTTAGCAAAAATTGGGCCAGATTGTGGGATTTTTGGCCCAATTTAAGATGAATTTTCAGTCGAGCAACCGTTTTGGGAATCGGCCCAAGTTTCACCTTAGTCGTGTGTCAGGCATCGAGTAGGTTGGGGTAACGAGAAGCAATTAACACCTCATGACCAGCTCCCGATCAGCAATCATATAATTGCGACCAGAATTTCAAACCTGTTAGAAATTCTGGTCGCCCCTCATGAGGGTATCGCACCGTTGAAGCGGTGCCACGAGCCGATTTAACACAACCTGTCACACTGCACACGCACAAACACAGAAATGGAAATGAAAAAAACAAAGTAGTATGGCAGTGCAGTGTGTGATCTGGACACAAGTGATGGAGGCCCAACTTGTAGAACGTTGGGAAGCTCGTCCCAGCTTCCCAACACGCAAATGAGAATCTGCGGATGCAAAATGTGGAACACACAAATCTAACCGGTTAACGTAAAAAACATTTTAGCTGGAACACCGGAGCTGTGAGCTCGGTGCACTCTGTCAGCTGACTGTTAGCTGAGCTAGCGACATCTCCGAAAACATCAGAGCACTTTTGCAAACATGTTCTATTTTGACCAGCTGACCAGATGGGAACTTTACGCCACTACATTCACAAAAAAATGGGTAGTACACATTTCCTGTAAAATTAAAGTAACATAATTAGAAGGAACATTTTTATTAATCAACTTCATGCAATATTTATTATGTGTGGTGCATTAATTAACAGTTCATGAGCTTGTGCTATTAAGTATTAAACCAAACATGTGTAAAACTGTACACAGACAGAGACTCATATCTTTACATATTTGGCTGTGCAGACAAACAGCTTATAAATTGGGTTTTTTTGCAGTCATGTTTGTGTAGCGCTTCATGTTGATGTATATATGCCATATATGGGCTCAAAGACGCAAAGTTGACAGGAAATGTGGTTGCTAAGCTGCTGCTATGTGCGCTGAATCTATTTATGGCTAAGGCAGTTGTGTAGTATAAAAAGGGCTGACATGGAAATCACTGATCTGTTTTACTCTTGTCCCTTGGCTTTCTTTCGTGGTCCTTTTTGAGTGATCCTCAGCTTGACACAGGTCAGTCTTCAGACTTGTTATATTTTAACTTTGATTTTATGTCTCTTTACTTTTGCATAACCTTTTACTTGAGTGTAATAAAACTTCAGGTCACGATTAACTTTTTCATCCGAGTATTAAAAACAACTTTTATATTTAAAAAGATGTTAGTTTGTCCAATTTCTCATGAGTGCAGATGTGGTAAAACACATATTTTTATCATTTAAGTACAAGTACATGTGCTTGGGTTAAAATTAGTCTAGTAAACTTTGAGATTCAACTTCTTTACTCAAAAGTGAGGAAAATAAAATCTCTAAAATGTACTTGAGTACATTTTAAAGCCTATTTCTACAATCTATTTTGGTGCAAAGCTAAACAAACCTCATTACTAATATAATAAAAAATATAAAGAAATTAAAACTTTATTTAAACTTAAATTATAATTATAATGAATATAATATGTTATCTTGTAATCTTTTGTAACACAAGTAGAGAAAAACAAAGTTTTAAAAAAGTTCTATTTGCTGTTGTCAACATTGTAAACAGGCCAACTGACCTCAACACCTAAATATTTGAAGTTTCTATTGTGAGCTCCAATAGATGTGGCAGACATGGCAGAAACACACCAGACAGAATAATACAGTGGAAGTAAAACCTGGAGCTAGTCAACTGGTTCAGGTGCAGCAGGTGGGCGGATCCTCCAAATTGCTCACAAGTATTTGGCTGCTTCACTTCGTTTGTTCCAAAAAAACATGTCAGCTTTTAGATGCATGTTGACTGTTTACTTTCCTAACATTGCTATTTTTCATATTTTACTTGCATGTATCATATACAGTCAACTTTACATAATTTCTGTTTAAACAAATATTCATCTTCATTCAAACAGATCTTACATGCAGCTGCTGTTCATTCAACCATTTAGTTTATTAACTTATAGCAATTAATCTGACATTTCAGAGAATTTCCTTCCCTGAAGATCTTCATTGATCCCTGCGTCAGAGAGCCGACTCCCACCAAACACTGCACTGCACAACAAATCACTCTGCTAACTGAAGAAAGAGGTAAAAGTAATACATCTTTACCAGTTGTTGTTTTGGTTCATCCATCTGGGATCATCCAGTTTGTTGTATTAAATGTGTATTTTAAATGTGTTTTAATGTGTAAGCATGTTCAAATGGTAAAACGTTTCAGAAACAAACAAACAAACTGACTACTTTACTTACTCTTATCAGTGTTCTTTTTCTGTCTTCAAAATAGAAATATGAAGCTCTCCATTTTCTTGCTGGTGGTGCTCTCTGTCACTGTGCTCTGTGTGGATTACGAACATGTTAAGAAGGTCAAAAATCAGCGTATCATCGAACCAGACACAAAAATGTCGTCTGTTTCTTCTAGCAGATCAGCACAAGAAAGTGTTGACGAACGTGTTAACAACTTCGCAAACCAGCATATCATCGACACAGAAGAGTCATGTGATAAACTAATAGAAGACCGGAAGATCAAAGATGTTAATGGTAAAGATAAAAAAATAAGAAACACCTTCATCGTTAGCACTTTTAACAAGGTCAAAGATATTTGTAAAGAAGAACAACGTGTTTATAAAAATGACAATCTTTATAGAAGCTCTGAAGAGATGGAGCTTTTGCACTGCACACTGCAATATGACAAAAGAAAATACGAAGGCGTAAAGATAAAGAAGCATATTGAAATTGCATGTGTGACAATCGGCCGTGGTCTTCAACCTGTACACTTGCAATGCTGCTTTTAGTTTGAGAGCTGCTCTGTAACTTTGTAAAGTTTGCATAAATAATAATGGGAATATTATTATTAAGGAAATATGGAAGAATTGTTTGTAAGTGAATGTGGAATAATACCACAATCACAAGAGTTATTGAAAGAACTTTTGACTTTCTTGTCTCACTTGCATAAGTAAACATTACATCACATCCATCCTGTTCTCTCAGATCACAGACATTGCTTGTCTTTCAGCATTCAATAAATAATCTACAAAAAAAACAAGTTGCTGCTCCAGAGAATTTTTTTATACTTAAAACAAAGCTCTTGTAAAACCACAAACACTCGCTGGTTTTAAAATCATTGATGAAGAGAGGAGCTACAGATTTTGTCTTAGTGCTGAGGTCTGAGTTAGTGCTGGAGTTCATCTGGACTGCATTGGATTTCTATCTGCTCCATGTGTGGGAATAAGCAGAGACAACTAACAAAGAACTTTCAGCAGTAGGGCTGGGCGATATATCGAGCTTTTAAATATATCGATATATTTTTATACGAGATATGAGATGTGACAATATCGTTTACATCAATATTGTCTATGTTACATTATAATTATACTTGTGGAGCCCCAATTTTGTCTCTCTTTCGTCCACTTTTGTCTCTACGCAACGTTACTCGCAAGGTTACTCAGAGAGAACCCCAGTGTCTGGGGTTCTTTGTGAACCCCATTCTGTGAAATGAAGAAAGCAAGAAGAATGAGTTAAGTAAAGTTTGACTTATCTGACTGTTTTGTTTCGCATAATGCGCCTTATAATCCGGTCTTATGGTCTGGAATATGGTCCTCGTATTCTTAAGAACAGATGATCTGTTTAACTGTACCTTACTTTCAGTAAGTCACTCGGTGTTGCATGTAAATTAAATTCACATTGATGGCCCATCATCCACGTGCCCTAATCACTTAACAGTCCAAATGGCTGCTTTGTTGAGTCCCACATATTGGGCACTTATTCTTATCCATATTTTTAATCTGTTGCAGCAGTCACGATGCTGCTTATAAATTATACTCAGACTGATGAGTCTTCACTGATGTCCCCAAAACAAATAAAGCTCCAAATGTTTATGCTGTTGTTTCTTCAGTTATTACTTCTAAATATTTTGAAATGCAGGCATCTGATCTGTTTCTGTTATGTAGCCTAATGTAATGCAGTCAATGCTCTCACTGCTACTGCTGCAGAGATCAGGGTCAAAAGCTGTGTGGGCCCCACCTGCACACACCAGAATGAATGAACCTTCCTGTATAAACGCAGTCCCTCGAGACGTGACTGCCCCTCAGCATCTCTGTTTATTACACCAAAGCAAGTTTGAGAACAAAAAGAATAAATGGCTCTGTATTTGGTGCTTGTTTATGTGTTTCTATGCAAAAGCACCCTGTGATGTTAATGATAGGGGTGCAACAATACTCGTATTGATATTGAACCGTTCGATACAGTGTTTTCGGTTCGGTACGCATATGTATCGAACAATTACAACATTTTTAATTTATTTTATCAACTTTTCTTCTGACGATGCTGTCTGTGTTGAGCGCTCAGTGGATCTGCGTTCGACTACTCCGCCTAGGCTGCACTGTCGAGTGCAGATCCACTGAGCGCAGCGCAAGCTAGCAAGACAGAAGCTAAGCTCGTTGCAACATGGCAACTAGCCTCAACGCTACCCGAAATTGAACCTCCCCCACCCTCATTCAGATCTGGCGTTTGGAACTATCTGGTTTTCATGTGAAGCATGACCCAGATGGTAAGCGCGATCATGGACAAAAGTAAAACAGTATGTCGGATGTGCCACGCAATGCTCAATTGTGGGAACTAGTGCGTTAGCGCAGTTAGCTGTTAACTTTGCGCCATCCAGCCCCACGCACGGGCGATCCGACGGTACTCGTTAACGGAGATTTGCGTGTTATGGCGTTAACGTCATTTCAACGAGATTAAGCTGACAGCACTAGTGGGAACACAACGAATATGACTGCACATTTACGCCGACATCATCCTAGTGCAAAGACAAGTGGAAGCAGACAAAAACAACAAGCAGCATGCTACAAACTTTACCCGAGTCATTTAGACAGCCGTTAGCACATGATTCTCCTTATGGGGACCTGATATGTTTAATATGCTGCTGAGAATATAGCCCAGAAGAAGCGTATAGTATAGCTTTTATTTTGAAAGAGCACATTTCTCTGTAATAAACTCTTTTTTGCATTGAAAAAATATCGAACTGTGACACCAAAGTATCGAACCGAACCGTGAATTTTGTGTATCATTGCATCCCTAGTTAATGATGACCATGTCTCTCAATTTGAAATGACTCCAACAAAGTTACATTTTTGTTTTTAATATGCTTTTAATTCTATTAACAGACTCAGTTCTATTAACAGCTCTCTGATATACATTAGCATTATAATATTAGGGAGAAAACTGGCCGTCCCTGTTCAGTCATTAATAATAAATAACCTCTTAGTTCACTTGCCTCAGTTCTGCTGTGTTCACGACATCAGCGGAGCGGGAGGTGGCTTACTGGGCTTAAGCCCGGGTTGTTGTTTCAGAAGCCCGGGGTCTTTTGGAGTGTAATTTGTTTCATAGTTAGTTGCCTGACTGACAACTACACTCAACAAAAATATAAACGCAACACCTTTGTTACTGCTCCCATTCCCCATGGGATGGACGTAGAGACCTAAAATTCATTCCAGATACACAATATAACCATCCCTCCCAAACAGTGGTCACAAATCAGTCCAAATGTGTGGTAGTGGGCACATCTGCTATATTGAGATAATCCATCCCACCTCACAGGTGTGCCACATCAGGATGCTGATCTGACATCATGAGTAGTGCACAGGTGTACCTCAGACTGCCCACAACAAAAGGCCACCCTGGAATGTGCAGTTTTTTTGCGCTATTGGGGGTCTGGGGACCCAGAACCGGTCAGTATCTGGTGTGACCACCATTTGCCTCATGCAGTGCAACACATCGTCGCATGGAGTCTATCAGATTGTCAATTGTGGCCTGTGGAATGTTGGTCCACTCCACTTCAATGGCTGTGCGAGGTTGTTGGATATTCGTGGGAACTGGTACACGCTGTCGTATACGCCGGTCAAGCACATCCCGAACATGCTCAATGGGTGACATGTCCGGTGAGTATGCTGGCCATGCAAGAACTGGGACATTCTCAGCTGCCATCTGCCCTGAACAATGTGAACCATGATTCATCCGTGAAGCGCACACCTCTCCAACGTGCCAGACGCCATCGAATGTGAGCATTTGCCCACACAAGTCTGTTACGGCGACGAGCTGGAGTCAGGTCAAGACCCCGATGAGGACGACGGGCATGCAGTTGAGCGTCCCTGAGACGGTTTCTGACAGTTTGTGCAGAAATTGTTTGGTTGTGCAAACCAATTGTTCCAGCAGCTGTCTGGGTGGCTGGTCTCAGACGATCTTGGAGGTGAACCTGCTGGATGTGGAGGTCCTGGGCTGGTGTGGTTACACGAGGTCTGCGGTTGTGAGGCCGGTTGGATGTGCTGCCATATTCTCTGAAACGCCTGTGGAGACGGCTTATGGTTGAGAAATGAACATTCAATGCACGGGCGACAGATCTGGTTGACATTCCTGCTGTCAGCATGCCAATTGCACGCTCCCTCATTGCTTGTGGCATCTGTGGCATTTTGCTGTGAGACAAAACTGCACATTCCAGGGTGGCCTTTTGTTGTGGGCAGTCTGAGGTACACCTGTGCACTACTCATGATGTCAGATCAGCATCCTGATGTGGCACACCTGTGAGGTGGGATGGATTATCTCAATATAGCAGATGTGCCCACTACCACACATTTGGACTGATTTGTGACCACTGTTTGGGAGGGATGGTTATATTGTGTATCTGGAATGAATTTTAGGTCTCTACGTCCATCCCATGGGGAATGGGAGCAGTAACAAAGGTGTTGCGTTTATATTTTTGTTGAATGTATATAAAACAAAAAACTACACACAATATTCAAAGCACATAGCACACAGTCCTAAATTCCCCCTAATTTTGCTATGATCCAAGCTCAGGCACTAGCCGACTGAGCAGAGGCGGAGCCAGACATCTTATAGGGCTTTGGAGCGTGATGTCACGTGAGGGGGCCACGTCCCATCCCGCCATGACAATAGGCCAAACAAAGCACAGGGAACCTCCAAAAGTTGATTCTGTTCATCTGGACGTAGCAATTTGTGGGAGAAACGTTTTGTCACTCATCAGAGTGACTTCTTCAGTCTCAGCTGAATGCAGGTTTCCTCAATCTTATAAACAGGACATTTGCATAATGACTGAAACCAGCCGACTGATCAACAGCCATGAGTACCATTCACAGAGAGTTGGGGAATGGCTGCAATCACAGTTAAAACCTTCGTAGAAAAATAAGTCCAGTATTACAGAATGAAATCAAATTATTGTGTTTGTTGGCGAGAAAACTTACAAACATACAGTACAGCACTTCAGAGTCACACTGCTAGCGATCGAAGATTTAAGTAAATTTGACAGCTGATCAAGACGCAGAACACAATGCGCTGTAAAAAAATTTTTTTAAAAAAGCATGTAAAATTGCAAAAACCAATCTGCGACACAGCGAGGCCGCGTTATAGCAAGGGACCACTGTATTATATATGCAGGACACCTTGAACTAGCTTTTTTTTTAATTAAGCAGCAAGTCAATGCTGTCATGTAAAGTCTGAATTCAAACACAGGTTGGGGAAACCTGCACTGAGCTGACTGAAGATATCAAACATTTCCAGTAAGACATTTGACCAGGTCTTTTAACACGTCCCATTAACCAAGCGGCATTCTCAAGCTGCTGCTGCACTGTTAAGAAAATCATAACTTAATCCTCATAGAACAGTCAGAAGAAAACAAACAAACATACAGTCATGTGGAAAAGAGTGTTTTCATAGAAATCTATAGCATACTCTGAAAAACTACGAACACTCCAGGATTCAGTCATTTATGTTTTAGAAGCAATAGTGTCACCAAATTGTTTCTGTATGACTATCAGTGTTTCACAAGGATGTTTGGCTCACTCTTCTTTACATTGTTTCTTCACATCATTGAAGTTTCTGACATTTATTTATGTACAGCTATCTTAAGTTCCCTGCACTGAATATTAGGTTGAGGTATGGACTGTGACCGGGCCACTGCAAAACCTCGATTCTTGTCTTTTTCAGTCATCCTGTTGCAGCTCTGCTGATGTGCTTGGGAACTTTACCCTGCTGCAGTACATCGAAACACACCATTGACTCCAGAGTACTCGGTATACAGGGGAGTTAATGGAAAACTCAAATTTTTCATTCTGTATATTTCATGTTCATTTACTTGACCAAGCCTCTGATGTGTAAATCAGATCCAACTGAATATCATCAGAACATATGATATTATGAAATTTGTTTTCTTTTACTAATAAGTCGAGGTTGAGGATTTGGAGTAGCACTGAATATAGAAGTTTTCTATCTCTGATGATCAGTTTCAATGGTTGATTGTAAACTCACTTTACTAGTCCTCCTCCTTCATTATTCCATCCGGCAAATCAGCCCCGGAGCATGATCCTACCACCACCAGGCTTAACATCTGGTACAGTGTTCTCAGATTTCAAAGGATCACCTTTGATACACCAAACATACTGTTGTCATTGTGGACATATAGCTCAGTCATAGTCTAGTCTGCCCAGAAAGCTGTCTTTCCAGAAGGGGTTGGGATCCTCAGTTCACAGTAATAACAAATTCCCACTGATCTAAGGGGGACTCTTTGGTCTTCTTCCAGCCCTTGGCCAAGTGGTAACATATCCAAACAACTTGTAATTACAAACGATTATTTGAACCGAATCTGTAAGTGTATAAAAATGGCTTAAAATGGTTTACAGTGAGTTCCTTGGACTTTCTGTTGTTCTA